TTAATAATAATGACTATTATATGACCTTCATTTAGACCCCATATACATATGTACATATGTACCTACCAAACGTATGAACTTCCCTTGTTAATTTGTCTATCGCTACCATTAATATATGCAATTAGTTGATATATCCATATTTATGTTTTTTTTTTTGATATTTACTGCAATAAGGGAGTTATCTCAATAAAATGTTGCTCGACTAATTCTCGTGCTACAAAATATTGATCCCTAAATCCAATATAATATGTTTACTCTTTTGGTTTGACTAATATTTTCCCTTAAAACCCATATGTTTAACTTTTGAGAATATATTTCAGATACTCAGCAAGATATCACGATTACACTTGATAGCATATTATTGAGGCGTTAATCGCATTACAAAAAACAAAAAATAGAACCTTAAAATACTTCCTAAATACTTGTTTGACATGCGGGAGCGTTCGATTGCGTCCTAGCTTATATTTGTAAAAATGTTTCATATTTGTTTTTTATATGTTGGGAAGTTTTTTAATTTATTTAAAATATACCTTCGATAGCTCAGTTGGTAGAGCGGTGGACTGTAGAGTTAATTATGTTCAAATATAGAAATCCATAGGTCGCTGGTTCAAATCCGGCTCGAAGGAGAATAAGTGATATTTTTAGAGAAATTATAAATGAATAAATGTCGCAAAATATAATCCATTCCACCGAAAATAATAAAATTCATTGGAGTCATTTTAGCTGTATTTAGTACAAATACAGAATAGGGCTATACTAAATAAATGAACTCATGATATGTAAATCATAAATAAATTCTTAAATTTATGTATATTTTTAATAGTTCGACCTAAGATTCAAAAGACATGTACATATGTATATAAATTCCCCAGTTTTCAGACAAAATCGGCTCGTAAGATATAGAATTTTGGTTTTTTAATTTTAAAAGTGTTTTATTTACCCTTTTTTTCCAAATGCTTGAAGAGAATTACCCGCCTCTTCGTCGGACGGCATTTGAGCGACGAAGGACATCCAAAATAAACTGTTACGGACTCTCAAAGCACTTCACAAAGTGCTTTTAGGGGAGCGTAATTTGAAGTTGATCGAGATAGGTGAAACTCGAAGAATATCAATTGATAATGTTAAGGGATGGTTCATGAATATTTGCACAATCTAAACTGTATAATAAATCCATAAAAACGATGGCAAAATAGCATGAATTGGTCTTCGAATTCCTCCCGCATTCTCCAGATCTAACACCCAGCAACTTTTTCCTGTTCTCGGACCTCAAGATAATGCTCGCTTGAAAGAAATTTAGCAGCAATGAAGAGTTAATCGCCGAGACGTAGACCTGTTTGAAAGCAAAAGACCTATTGTACTCTAAAACTAGTATCGAAAAGCTGGAATAACGTTATAATCGGTGTATGTTGTTGTTGTTGTAGTGGCAGAAAACTTCCTGAAGTAATTTAAAGGAATGCTGTCGAGTTCACAGCCCTTAGCCAGATAAAAATTCTGGGTCCGTTCCGATAACGTGGATCCAACTGTCGTGGGAACAGATATCGTCCTCTTTGGCAATCATGTTAAATAGAAGAGTCGAATTTTCCGAAAAAATATGCTTTTCTTTACAAACGAAACGAACTTTTTAACTTGTCCCCTATACCAACCTGCGGATTCTGAATAAAAAAAAGTTTTTGTTTTTGTTTGAAATACTCTCTTAATAGTATATTACGCGTATACGATATACACAAGCGCTATTCTAATCACTTGTACATAGTATTGGATAAAATATCTACTACAATACAATCATACGAAGTGAAAGGACACACGAAATAACAGTTAGTATACCTGACTATATATAGTATAGAGGGCTTATAGGAATGTGCGTATATATCTACATTAAATTGTATATCATTTATATCTAATCATTCAAATGTTAAGTACATAGTATTATAATAATAACTTTTATTGCTTCTAATACTTTACAAAATCTAGAATTTTTTGTTTTTCTTTTACATATGTATGTACACATACAAATATGTATATATATATATATATATCACGTCTCATAGTACCTACAATACAACTTTCTCGAATGTATCGGCCATTGCCAGCCACTTGGTGGAAACATTGACTCCACAAACAGCGACACTGGATACTCGCTGCTTGCTCCACTATGAGAACGAGAGCGTTGCCATTGCCACTGCTCATATTCCAGCATACCTTGCACATCCAAATATATGACCATATCTATCCACACCATATACATGTATATATGTATATAGTGCGATTGTGTATACGGGCAAATCTACAATACTTTGAATATGTATATATATACATATATATATATGTATATTGGGTCTTCGTACGTCTCCGATTACTACGATTGCGGCTACGCCATTTACGGTTGTAATTGCTGTCACCGCTTTTAGTCAACTACAGTTGCTACTCGGTCGCGTGACGCTTTGTAACTAAATAATTCAGTTGCTTTAAAATAACTATATAAAAATATTAACAAAATCATAGTATATACTTTTAGTTAAATACCGTTAGACATACATATGTGCATATACTATTATATATTCAATATTTGTTGCAATTTCTTATGCGTATAATGTGGGGTAGGTCGGTTCCATAAAAACATACACTACTCACTACTTGTGAAAGTCTACATTTAATATACCCATATAATTTGGCCTCAAGTAATCGCATAATTAATTTTAATGTCAATTTAGTTGTTTAAGATTTTTCCTTTATCAATTAGACGCAATAATTGAACTAACATATTTAATATAGATAAGAAATAGCTTATATTCTTGCTTCCCACTTTGCTTTTACGCTTTCGTCCTGTCTGTCACTTTTACGGTCGCGTGTTCCTGTTCGCCGCGGCACAATCCACTGTGCTAGATACAGACTATATTCTCCTGCGTGTGTATAATACAGACATGAAAAATGTGTGGCGTAGTTTTAATTTCCTTTTCCATCAGTTTTGAAGTGTAACATATTCACTCGGCTAAGTAAAAAATAATTTTGAAATACATTTTTTTTACATCCTTTTTTTTCGAGTGAAAGCCATAAACAATGTGTCAACTGCATTTTTAGTTGCTGGATGAATTTGTAAAAGTTTCAGTGTCTAAATTGTCTACAACAAAGTGTATACTCATGTGTAAGCACGTGCATGGCTAATGATAGTATTTGGTACGTGTGCGATGGAAATGTAGTTAAATTCGCCGCTTAAATTTATTTACCTATAGCTGTGTCGCAAATCATGATTTGAGCTTTAATAAAATATTATGGAAAAATTTGTTCACGCTATCTATTCATTTCGCTGTTATTCCAAATATATTTAAGGTCTTAAAGGCCTTGAAGGTTTAATTTTCTAATAATGCTTAAAGTTTTTGAGATGTTCTCGAATAGTATAAGTATTTTGTATGGTATTTCTCATAAAGTGTTTTTAAATAGAATTCACAGTTTCCTTTTCTAATATTATATGAGTCCAGTAAAAACGAAAAATGAGACCTTATAAGAGACATTCTGTATTGAGAGTATATTATATTATAACTGAAGTAACTGAACGTGACTATCTTGTTAGGTGTTGAAGAACCTGATTCCCTGATTTTTGTCATAGAATTGGTGTTTAGTACCTCCTCCTTTGAAATTTTAACGCCGGTTATAATGAACAGTAAATTTTAGCAACATAAAAATATGTTTTAAACGAAATTCTAGTGACAACCTATAACTCAACACATCAGTTCTGCAAAGTTGGTTTTAAATCCCTTCTACTACATAAAAATCTATCCACAGCAAAAAAAAAATCAATGAAGTTTATAAAAATCTATTACAAGTATGTTACTCTTGCTTAATAAAGCTTAAGATCTTCAGTATTAATTTAAGGCTAATGATGGTTGCTTCTAATATACATATTTTAGATAATTTTTTAATTCGTGTATTTTTTTTTCAAAAATGTATCGCTTTTTTTAAGAAATCCATGTACAAGAATGTGTGAATTATTCAAGGCCGATCTGAAGTTATAACAATTTCCAATTTTTCTGGCAATTTATGGATTCTATACCAAAATAACTGCGCCGGTTTGACGGCCAAGCAGGAATTAAGCCATTTTTTGCTACCATTTTCTGATATGAACCGTAATCTAGTGAGGGCGTTCTGCATCGACCAGAATAAATGATAGTCAGATGGGGCAAGGTCTGGGCTATAAGGTGGGTGATGGAGAACTTTCAAGCCTTTGTTTTGGTTTCAGCCGGTTTTTAGAAAGTTAATACAGAACGTCCTTCTAAACACTAAACCTTGACATCATGGATTTTCGGCTTTGCCGTTGGTTTGGCGGGTTGGCGGGTTGGCCAGGTTTCACATATGATTTTTTGCGTTTGTGGTTGTCGTAGTGGTTCCATTTTTCTTCGCCATTTACAATTCGATGCAAAACGACTTCTTTTTGTAGTGTTCAAGCAGCATTTCTGATGAGCAAAATTGGGTTTCTTGGCATCAAGTTACATGGCACCCAATTTCGTTGCTTTTAAATGTATCCGGCTACTTTAAACGTTTGATTACTTGAATGACTTCCGAAGATATTCTGCGCGGCCTTCATGTGTTTGGTAACAATTTTAATCGAGGGGCGCCCAGGACATTCCTTCTGTTCCTAACTGAAATCGCCACTTTTAAATCGTATAAATCACTTTTGCTCTGCTAGAGCATGTTCACCATAAACTGCCATCAAAATATGATGACTTTCGGCGGAGGTTTTCTTCATTTTAAAGTTACGAAGAAGAACTCTGCAAAAACACATTCTCAGGCACAGCTCTCGACATATTTGAATAAAAATGTTTTTTTTTATTGTTTAGCCTTCAATCAACAGTATCTTTCTAGCGCATTTTTGGAATTTTGGAACAAAAGAAAGATAATCAAGTTACGCCCTCTATTGGTAGACCGCAGCAATATTAGTTATAGATCCAATATAACCTCGAATACAATTTTTTAAATAAAATATTTTCTTCTTATTTTCTTTATAGTTAAATGGAGGGAACGGATGGATCACCCCCACCTTCCTTGTGTATTGTGCGCGCCACTGAGTTTTTCCCAAGATTAAACATGGAAAAAGAAGATGCAGACTTGGAAGTACCCTATCAAGAACGTTCGTATTACATTGACATCAATTTTTTTTTAAAATTTTCTAAAATAAAAATAAAAAACTAACTCTACATTTATATATACTTGTATACCTACAGTTGCTGGGGAATTTGTCTTATATCTGGGACGTACTGATGATGGCATTTTGTCGCTCTCAACATACCGTATATTTATACTTAAAAACTCTACCAACTCAGAGACATCCGTGCCACTGGGACTAATCGAAAGTTTACAGATACGTGACCTGTTTCATCTAATCATCAATTGCAAGGACGCTAGCACCGTTAAATGTTCCTTTGAAACAGCTGAACAGTGCGCCGAATGGCTACGACGTATACAGTTGTGCGTCGGTGTGCCAGAAACCTTAGAATCGCTATTCGCATTTCCCTTTCACTCGTACATGAGTGATGCAATAAATATGCAAAGCGAAGCTTATAATTCGCCCGAGTACCTGGAACGCTTACAACGCGCTAAACGTGCAGACGAAGATTTTATGCGCGAAATCATACGACTCGGTTTCGATTTGAACGGAACGTGGCGTATTTCCAAAACGAATGAAGACTTTAAATTATGTCCGTCATACCCGCAACGGTTACTGGTGCCGGCCTGCATTTCGGATGACATGCTTTACGAGGTAGCGAAATTTCGTGGCTCGAGACGATTGCCAGCCGTTGTGTGGCGTCACAAAAAATCCGGTGCAGTAATTGCACGCTGCAGTCAACCCGAAGTGGGTTGGTTTGGTTGGCGTAACAACACAGATGAACAATTACTCAAAGCTTTGAGCGAGGCGTGTGCATTTGATCGAGGTGAACAATTGCGTCGCCAAAGTCAGTCTATCAACACGGCGGTACGAAAATTGACATCGAGCGAGAGTACACCCTCAAGCACTGACGGCAGTCATGAGGAAGTAACGATGGATGAAGTGCAGGTTTGTGCATTCAACAAATTGTGTAAAAGTTTTCCAATATAAGCTTGTCTCAATTTCGTATTTAGAAAGTCCTTATTGTCGATGCGCGCAGCTACGCTTCCGCGGTAACGAATCGTGCACGCGGAGGTGGTTGCGAATGCATTGAATATTATCCGTCGGCTGAAATCGAGTTCATGAATCTGGGTAACATACATGTTATACGTAGGAGTTTTCAAGCGTTAAGACAACTATGTGCTTCGCCAGCAGATTGTCAAAAGTGAGTCCCGATGGAGTTTTTGTATTAAATGTGCAAATTGAATTATTAAAACCGTTAATTTTTTTTACAGTTGGCTAGGCATGCTCGAGAAGACATTGTGGCTGCAACATCTCTCTGGCTTGTTGGCCGCTGCCGTAACTGTTTGTCATGCTATTGAGAAGAAAGGGCGGCCAGTGTTGGTGCACTGTTCGGATGGCTGGGATCGCACGCCACAAATTGTGGCCACAGCACAATTGTGCTTGGATCCATACTACCGTACTGTGGAGGTAATTAAGCCAGCCAAAAAAGTGATCATTATATTCAATAAACATTTATTTTTTGTTAGGGTTTCCGCGTATTAGTCGAACGTGAATGGTTGAGTTTTGGTCATAAGTTTTCCGATCGTTGTGGTCATGGCCCTGGTTCGGATGAGCTGAATGAACGTTGTCCAGTTTTCCTGCAATGGTTGGATTTGGTACATCAAATACACAAACAATTTCCTTGTAGTTTTGAATTCAACATGGCATATTTGGTAAGCTTTATTATAACAGCAATTTTTAGGTTTGCTTTATTTATTTAACAATTTATTTTCTATAATAGATCAAATTAGCACAACATTCACATTCATGTCTTTTCGGCACCTTCCTATGTAACACATACAAGGAACGTTGCGAAAAGTCAGTGTTTGAGCGTACTTACTCAGTCTGGCCTTTCCTATCAGGACCTATGTATAGAAGTCCACTTTATTTACCAAACAAAGATACGGTGAGCTTACTACCGAATATATAAATAAGCATACGTTGTTTAATGTAAATATTTCCCTTTTTTCAGGTTATTTGGCCTGCGCACAATGTACGGGATCTACACTTATGGACTGAAGTTTATTTGGGAAGTTTGGGAAATCAAAATAGCGTCGAATTCGTAAATAATAGCAACGAAAATTTGCAGGGAACGACAAGTAAGTTTATTACAAATAATTTTTAGTAACGTACAACAAAAAATGTAATGTATACAATCATATTTATAGCTCCTTTGGCTAAGACGCGTTCTTACGGCGATTTAGTGTCAGCAAATATCATGCAGAGTGGCATCTCAAGACGTTCCAGCGACCCAAATATGACTGTGGAACCGAAGTAAGTGTACTAAATTAAGCATCCATACCATATCATCAATTTTGGTTTGGCTTTGAAATGTTGAATTGGCCTTTTTTGAGTAAATTCAAGCATGCCACCGTTGTATCCATAACTCCATATATGATAGTTCATGTTTAGGATGGTATTTCTTGAATAGAATTTGTATGCGGTTTGCACCGCGACCTAGGGTCTATTGTGCCCTTATTTGTTGAATTATATAGCCTGTATGTAGTACATTCTCCGGAGCATATATTCGAGTTTCTCGAACAGTTAAAGATATAGAAATCCAAATCTACTAAATAAGAAAGCGGGGCTAGTTCTTTTTTGTGTGTATCTTAACAAATATTTCTATGGTATTGTGCTACTACTCGACATTCTTCTTGTACAAATTTAAGTTTATGGACAGTGGAATCGTGAGGAATATTAAGGGGCCTGTCTTCAATTTTGGATTATCCGGATTATCTGTTAATGACGATAACATCGAAAAAGTTAAAGAAGTGCTTGATAATCGTTGTGTTGGCATCAGAAGGATGGCAAAAGATCTCATCATCTCTTATGGATCAAGTCAACACATTTTGGTTTATGTTTTGGATATGTTTTGGGTATCGAGGCTCCTAAGAAGTGTATGAAAAACTTGGATTAAGCGTTGTCATACTTGTATTGACTTGAAGGCGATAATAAATATTTGTATTAAAATATGTGAAAATGTATTTTGTTTGTCAGGCCATGTCAATTTTATTTAGATGAAATGGTTTATAATATATATTTAATTTTCTCGTCCCTAAAATAATTTATTTATTGCCAACGTTGTAATTGTTTTCACTTCTTTTATAGTTTAACAATGGCTACAAATTCTGAAAACAACTCCATCGCCGATACACAATCCGAACGTGATGATTTGCCAGATAATGTAATTGAAACGATGCAGCGAATTGATAATTTCACCACTCAGCAAAATAATCATGATGAAGGCAACTTTATGGATGCCGCAAACACTGCAGAGAACCCACAAACTATTAATTCGCAGTCTAGAGAATTGTATAGGCCTATCATTAATACTGAAACGACTGTAGACTACAACAACAGAGCACTATCAGCTTTAAGCAAAAATGAGCACCAAGAGCACAATGAAAAAAATTATAATTCAAATGACATTAAGCCTAAGGCTAACGGTATTGAACACCAAAATGGCAATACGAAGGCTGCCCACAGTAGCAGAGATATTAGAGATTCGGGAGGTGGCGACGATTCAAACGAATTTAAAGCAAATACAAACGACGATCTTATGATAAGTGTAGAATTGAGTGGTAAGTAAAATTTTGATGTTGAAATATCCACAAATAAATGAAGTGTATTTTCTGTTTAACAAGCAATTTTTTGAGTTTTCAACATTTTCTTTTCATTATGTTAGTTGAAATTTACAATAAATAAAAAAAAACTTTTATATGGAAATGTTTTTTTTTTTTTACTAATTTTTTTCCGTTTTGTTCCAGATGCAGCCTTGGGCAGACACAGCAATTGGCATGGCGCTGTCAGCACTAGCACAGATACTTTAGTACCCATCGAAAGAAGACCAAGTACTAATGGCGAAGAAATATCGTACTCGCCTGCCAAAATGGAAGTCGATGTTATAGATGGTTTTCGTACACCTGAAAAACTATCCACATTGGCGGACAAAGAAGAGCTTGGCTTAAGTTCTCCGTATGTTCTATTAAAACAAGAGGTAATTAATTGATATATTTTGTTAAACTATTTATATGCAAATTTGTGTATGATCTTTATTACATGTTCTATAATCAGCGACAAAATTCTTCAACTGGTAATGGCAACAATGACAACAGACCTAACGCCAATGGCGTTAATAACAGTATTATGCCAAATGTTCATGGCACAAACGGTACCTCGAATCGTCAAATCTTGTCAAATTCATCTAGTAATACCTCCGTTTCATCTACATCGTCTTCACTCAATAATTTAAATACAAACATGAATAATACCAACAGTAATAGTAACAACAGCATCGCAACAACAATGACAACAGCTACAGATCAAAGCGCAAAAGATGTTGCTACAATAGATGTAGAAGCTTGTATTGCTGCTACAGGCGTACAAGCGAATTCAACTGATGTCATGAATGAAAGCATCATGATTTTGCCAGAACATCGAAAATTGCAAATATCTGTAAGTGGCAAGTGTGAGGCTATCTCGAATAACGGTTCGTCCTTACCAACATCCCCAACAGGCTCTGACGAAAAGCCAAGTACTAGTCGTGCAAGTGGTCAAAACGGTAGAGGTGAGAATGTTTGGAATGGCAGAGGCACTGAGGGCGGTAGACAAAATAAGAGTGGTGCCGGTGGTAGTAAAAGTGGTGCAGCCGGTGGTAGTGGTGCCGGTAGTGGAGCCGATGGTAGCGCCGGTAGTGGTGTCAGTCGCGGTGGCGATGGTGGTGACAGTCATGGTGGTGATAATGGTAACGGTGATGCTGGCAGAGCGGGTGGTGATGCCGCTGGTGGTGAGGAAAACGGACAACGCCGTCGACGCCCTTCAAATTCAAATCGTCAATATGATGGATTTCACATACGACAACCAGACGGAAGGTGAGATTTGGTTAACTTATGAATATGTAAATAATTTTATTAACGCGTATTATTATTTTTTTTTCACTTATAGCATACGTTATTTTTTTACGGGTAATCGTAGGCCTGGTATACGCTCCTTACCGTTGTCACCGCCACCACGTCAGGAACGACCTCACCTGTTATATTCCTGCCCTGACGGTTTGGCGCATGCGCTAAGCGAACAAAATATGCGTCTACATCAAATTGTGCAAGAACATATGGTAAGTGAAGCTAGTGAGTGGTAGTCTTAGAGAAAACGATTTTTAACAGTGAAATATTTGCTTTTCATTTAGTTAAGAGAGGATATTCTATTGCAAGAAATTCATGATATGGAAATTGAACTGCGAAGGAAAAGATGTCCAAATTGTAATGCCGCTCAAAATAGTGATAAAAACGAAGAACAGGTAAGAAACTAAAGTCAACATTGAATTACTCATAATACTTTAACACTGCGCAACTAAATGTAGGATGATGATGATAAAAAATGACAGCGAGAAGAGCATGGATTTTATTTGATTAAAAAAGGTGAAATTTTTTATTTATTTTTTTTTTTAAGGAAAGGAAAATTATGCATCAGAACATCATAATTTATATCTAGCTTAACAGAAAACAATACTTCTACTACTACTATTTTTCGCGTTTACAAATTTTTTTAAATTCAATGACATTATTAGTACTCGCTGAGAAATAATTTCGATATTCAAATATTTTTTTTTAACTGATACTCAGTTGAAAATCTCCGGTGAAACTGAATTTAATTTTAGAACTGCCTTTGTTTCGACTGTTGTTCGCCTGATTTTTTAAGATTTTGTTTTGTTTTAACATTTGAATTTAATTATTATTTTGTAGTTTTTATTTCAATTATTATTAATTTTTAATTCAATTATTATTTAAAATATTTTTTAATTTATATTTAGTTTTTTTATTTTTTTTAAATTTTTAAAATTTTTTTTTTTATTTTTTTTTTATTAAATTTAATTTTTTTATAGCTGTAATATTTACAGTTTTGATTATAATTTTCCTTAGCTTTTCATTTATCTACATATATGTTTTTGGTTGACAATCTACGTGATTTATAATAATACAGTCCTATTTATATATGTATGTCTATTCAATTAAGGTAGACGAACTCTTAGTTAGCAGAAGTAGAATACGCGATTGTACTAAGTGCCAATGCTTGAATGCGAGATCGTGTACAAAGTGTAAATTACTATTGCAACAGCAGCAATATCGACAACAACAACAACAGCCACTGCAAAAACAACCACGACCTCGTTGTCATACTGCGGTTGATTATCGTGATCGATTTCCTAATCGTTTTCATAATTGCCATTGCCTTTGCCAAAATAGTCACCACCAACGTAAGCGTTATCATAGTTTCAGTTGTAGCCTTTGCTATAAGAAAGATGATAATATACAGATTGACGACGATAATGATATCACCATGACGTTGCTCAGACGTAATTGTAGTTCTGATTATGCTGATAGCAATAGTTCCTTGTTAACGGTTAGTCTTGTCATCGGTTTTCATTCAATCATTGCATTGCTTAAGTGCTTATTGTACTTGTATGTATAACGGTTAAGTCCGAGCATTTTCAGAATAGAGAAGGCGCAAATGTTATTTAATAGATTACAGCAACATTTTAAGTGGGTATTATAGTATATAATATATATTGAAAATTATTCATATCTCAATAGTATAAATATTCTATAATATCTGCTTAAAAAATGATTTTCGAATTATTTTAAAAGTTACCCTAATGTTAGTGTCGCGGCAACTCGATCGGTTTAGTCATAACGAATCTAACAATAGAGTAAGATGGTGACGTGTACCACCACTGTTGCTGAAATCTGTTCATTAATATTGGTGACTTCTATATTTTCTGGTAAAATGCTTATGGCAGCATATCGATACGTTTGTATTCTAAACTTGTATTACGAGTGTATATGCATATTAGGGAGACCGTTATTTCCCCAAGTTGAATTTGTTTTTTTGTGCAAACGCCCGCTGCAATTTTCAGTTCCAACTTTATCTTTCTCTATTTATCTATCTTTTCCCATGCATTTTACATGTGACTATTACCCTACATACTATTCTAATTCACACTTTTCAGATCTACAAGAAAGGTCTGAATGAATTTTCCACTCCTTCAAAAGTTGTCCGAAATTAAATTTATGCATTCAAGTGAATTATAAATTGTGTGTTGCTCATACGACATGGTGTACTGTAAGAATACCTACAGTACACTTGATGCCATGACTCAATTATATAAGGTTGTGTCGATAGCCCAAAAACAATAATTTGTCAAAAGTAATTGGATCCATAATGTTAATTGTTTTGATTTTATGATAAAAAAATTCATTTTTTAATGAAAATGCGTTTTTGAGTGATAACTGAATACGAATACGAATTGTAAATCACACAAAATCATCAAATTGTAAACAGAAAAATCATAAGCAAAGCAAAAAACAGTTTTTTGACATTATGGATACAAACACTTCTTTCGTAAGAGGAAGCACGCTCCGTATCGACACAACCTTATTTAATTGAATCATGCTTGCTTTTAAAGAAATGTTTCTAAAGAAAAAACTAATCAAGCCTTTTTTGTAGAGTGCTAAATTTTGAATTATATAGTCCTGTATTCAAAGTTATAGGTTTATTTGCTTTGGAGATAAAAATGTAAGGCAAAATATAAAAAAAATTCCATGTCAAATACATAAGAAAAGTAAAATGATTTAATCACGGTTTAAATTGAAAATATAGACCTTTTTTACGTTGAATAGTTTTTTTATTGCAATAACTGAAACTTCAGGGGCATTTGCAAAAAAAAAAAAAAAACAAGAAAAAACGTTAATTTGCTGTATGCTATAGTGACTAGATCTGCACAATTTCTTTAAAGATTGCACCGTTGCCTTGAACAATAGCCCTTGCGGATTTTCTTTGAAGATATCTCGTCAAATTAAAACGATGTCAATACAAACACTTGATTTCGATCGTTCAGTTTGTATAGCAGCTATGTGCTATAGTGGTCCGTTATCGGCGTTTTCCACAAATTAATATTTTCTTGGAAGGAAAAAGGACGTGTGCAAAATTTCTGAACGATATCTCAAAAACTGATCATCGATATATATATACATATTTTATAGGGTCTCCGACGTTTCCTTCTGGGTGTTACAAACTTCGTGGCAAACTTAATATACCCTGTTCAGGGTATAAAAAAATCAACTTGAGGAAATAACGTACACCCTAATGCACATACATGTATTTTTTCATAGAAAATAAAGACGAAAGTATTGCTCATACATCTTCTTTATAACAGTTTATAGTTTTCCTTGAGAAATTAAAGTGTTTTGAAAGAGTGGCTGTCTTCAATTAGAAGTATGATTGTGTAAAATGACTTAATTCTCCTTCCTTTACATTTTATAACGGTATTCCTAAGTTTATTGTTTCACAAAAACGTTAAAAAGTTTTACTTTACTTTCGAAAAATAAGAAATTATTCACAAAATTTGTTATAAAAAGCTCTTAGTGCTAAAAAAAACATGTAATTAAATAACCTATAAAATTCGAACCAAATTGTTTAAATCAAAATGATTTGATTTTGATTTTAACACCGCGAGCCTTACTTTACTTTCGAAAATGAAAAAATTCGCGAGCTCTTATTGCTAAATAAAACAAGTAATACATACATACATACATATCGATATGTTAATTTGTAACCGAAACTTTGTTGTTTGTGCTGTTCCAACGAATGCTGCTTTTGCTTGCTTTGTGCGAGTTGCACTTTTTCACTCCTTTGATTGCTGCGCTGCTTCTATACTAACTTGCTGTTGTTGCTGCTGTTCGCTATAGCAAATATGTACCTCGCAAAACCTCATAACAAATATGCACTTGGTCTAATTAGTTTTCCTAGTTTAAATGTGCGTTTATTCCGCCTAAACTCTTTTCGATTAAAAATGCAGAACAAATTGGCTAATCGCATGTCTACTGCAAACTATTGAAATTTTCAATATAGTCAATGTTCAACACGTTTCCTTGTTTTAATTGTTGTTTAAATCACGTGACTATTGCCACAAAGTATTATCTGAAAAATTTAATTTATCTGTGTTACAGTGTTCAGTGGCCGATAATTTAGAGAATGCTTCAATATGCTCATGGGAGGCTGTGGAAGATCGCAGCGCTCCATCATCTAGCGCTAGTTCCTCCATACAACAACCAAACACCACAAGTGCCCTCTGGGTACCAGACCATGCTGTGAAACGCTGCACCAGCTGTCAAGTCGAATTCTGGATAGGCCGCAGAAAGCATCATTGCCGGTGTGATAAATAATATTATACACTTTTCATTTCTTCTCTTTTCGAAATCTTCACTATTATACCTATATAAACTTGTGTTTTTATGACTGTTATGCTATTTTATGTTTGATTTATGATTCATACACTCATTTATAACATAATTTATAACCCTTTTATAATATAAAATATAACCCTTTTATAATATAAAATATAATTTTAATTCTACCTCATCCTTAATAATAATTAAATTTAAGGCATCATTTGTTTTTAATATCAACATTATGCATTTGTTAATAACAAACCTCTTAATTATAAATTAAATACAATACTTATGTGTATACATGTTTAATTTCATTATGTGCTGTAATAGTTATCCCATTGTTTAATAGTTATTCCATTGTTTTACTGTCTTAAAATGTTTGTTATTTGTATAAACATTGCTTTTATTTCAAACTATAAATCTCACTACATTAATTAGATTATTTTACTGCAATGAATTATATTGTTAAAATTTCTTGTTAACAAAATGAAGTTCTTAAAGACACATGAATAAAAAAATCTGTTCAAAGATTATTAAATATTAACTTCATTTTGTCCATGAATTAGTAGTGTCCATACACTTGAATACTTCCCTGGTTTTCAATTTTTTTTTGTTTTTTTTTGTGTTCATATCCTATTTTTTATTTATATTATTATTAATATTTTTTTGTATAAATTTCAAAACACTTTAAACTGTATTCTGTTTCTCGTATATGCGCTACATTTATATATTATTTTCTCTGTTTAGCTCTTGTGGGCAAATATTTTGCGCCGACTGCTCTGAGTTTTGGGCACCGCTACCTGATGCAAAGCTTTTTAAACCTGTAAGATTGTGTGGACCCTGCTATCTTGCCGTAACTACGAGAATAGAGGTAAACACTATACACATTAATTGAGAAAATTTGGTTCACCTACATACATATTACAAATTAAGTAAAATGAAATCATCGAATAAGACATTGAGAGGAACGAGACTAAATTTTGGTAGGTCAATTTTTAAGTTAATTTACTAGTTTTTCGTAAGACATTTTACATTAGCATAGGTATGGAGCTATGAAAAATCTATAACAATTTTTGTTTGTGGATTTCGCAGAATAATACACATAAAGTGTTTTATTTTCAAAAAAAAAAAGAGATATAAGTAATTCTTTGCTCACTACATATTTAAACTCTTGGGAATATAAGTACTACTTAAGGGATACATTCTATAAAATATCAAACATATAACAAATAAAAAATAATTGCATTGAGTACTTGTGAATATCTGTATCGTTTCGTGGCAGAGCAAATATAATTCTAATTCTACGTCATTTTCATTATTGAGAACATGAAAAGAATGCTTTAGTTTAATGAGCTTAGGCATACCCTAAAAGAGAGGTTTAAATCTCCTTCTTTATCTCTTATTTGCTTTTTTTTTTATAAATCTCCGCTTATGTCACCGACATTTAACGACTTATTTACTAAAATACGGGGTATACCATGCAAGTTTGCATATGTCGGTTTATATAGTTTTTTTTTGTAAAATAAGAAAAATTCTCTAAAGGGGCACACCTAGTGTGACAATCTAAAAAAGGCAATTTTTGGGAATTAAAAAAAAACTCAATTTTTTTCGAAATTTTAAGCGTACACATTTTAGAATGCACAGCAAAAAAAAATTTAAAAATTTTCGCGTTCTCCGACGGCTTTAAAAAAGGTCTTCCACTCCTGCCGTGATCTCGGGCTTCTCCGTGGATGAAACCTAAAAACAAAAATTTCTTTTCTAAAAGATGCTGCCTTGAAAAAAATTCAAAAAATTACAAAACGGTAGAGTAACTCAAAATGTTGGCCATTTTTTGCCTATTACATTGTTAGATCATTGTATGGAGAACTATATACAGAATATGCAGAAAAAAATTTGATAGTAATCCGATCATTTGTCCCCGAGTAAATTCTCAAGCAAATTTGATAAAATGTAGTTTTGAGAAAAACGCGCTTAAAGATAAACTGATGGAACAGATTGAACTGAGCGGTTATATTTTAGAAGCCTGTAACTCAAAAAATATTTGAGATATCGATTAAAAATTTTAGGTTTTTGAAGAAACAAGCTATGAATATAAAAAAATAGATTTTTTGTTATTTAAGTGTTAAAGGTGTGGCCATAAAATCTAATAATAATACAATGCTAATTATATTTTCATCTTTTACCTAAACGTTGAAGGGCGAAAAATGCTTTGAAAGGGTTAAAATTACTGAATTGTACTTTTATAAATACAAACAAAGTATATTCCTGTTACCGTGGTATGCTGAACATTTGTGAAAAGAATAAGTATATAGGCTTAATACATATACATGTGTGTCTGTCATGGACTTTAAATATACCAATTCATTTGTGTATGCAATTATTTTAATATTTTTTTTTTTGATTATTGCCATGTTTATAATTGTGTTATGTATATGTATTAATGCTTCTGATCAAATTTGATCCGGATTGTACTTTGAGGTGTTAATACAACATTTTATTATCGCCTTCAAAATAATCAATACAAGCTTGTCAACGCTTCGTATACTTTCCCATACACTTATAAATCTCGACTGGGATGGGAATTTTGGAGCTTCATTTTGCTAGATTATCGGACAGTTTCGACGTTATATTTATAAAGCCATGTCTTCACTGAATGCAGATCAAATTTTTTTTTCACGCAAACAAAAACAAGGCTGTACCAATCTAGGAAAACACATTTTTTTTAAATATTCGGTATGCGCACAGTTTATGTGAAGCCGTCCTGGTCAATTTTGATCAGATTATATTATATATATATATATATATATATTTTTTTTTTTTTTTTTTTTTTTGTTATAAATATTTACGTCACATCACTATTTCATTAAACATTTCTGATCCAATACGTTCACACATACAAGTGTATTCATTAGTTTGGAATTAAACAGTTCCGTGTTCGCAAAATCAGAAACTTTTTGTAGTAAAAACATTTATTTACCAAACATAAATATCGTTAACAATGAAATCATTCACATTTTCTCCACAGCAACAGAGCAACGCAATCATTGCAACAAATATGCCAAATTATACAGCCACAACCACCAGCACAACGGCCAATGCTGCCTGGACGACTGGAGGAGCCTCGCGAAGTTCGCCCAAATTAGCGGTGTCTGCAGTCTCCAATGCAACGGCAGTCATAACCACAACAACAACTACACCTGCGTCCAGCACCATAACGGCGACAGTGCTACAACAACAACAACAACAACCGCAGCGGCAACAACAACCTAAACAGCGACATAATGTAGCAACAGCAACTACAACAACTAATGGAGCATTAACTAACTTGCATCAGCCAGTTGCAGTACACGGCATCGCTGTTGCCACTGCAAATACACCTGCCTCAAGTACACGGATCATGGCGCCAATACCCATAACAGCCGCGGCAGCAGCTGCCGCAGACGCGCTACAACAGCAGCAACAAAGACAAAATGCAGCAGCAGCTGCAGCGACTGCAAGCGCTACCGTGGCCGTTGCAGCGGCCGAGAGCAGCAGCATGTCGCACATATTAATGACAGCGAACAAAAATATTGCAGCTAGCGTTGCAAATTAATGAACAAGAGCTAAAGCCTAAAGTGCATCATTTAATTTTATTTCGTAGCAGAAATTGAATTTTAATGATCATTATTTTTATAAGAGACACCTCTAACTAAAATGCTGTTAAATCTGCTCGTAAGTAAGTTTTAGCAGCTAATGTTGTGCTACTACATCACACTACGGAGAGTGGCGAACGCGAGAGAGACTGTGCTGCCAGACTGTCGGCAACTTTGTTGCTATCGTGCCTAGACATGTGTGGATTATAATGCTTAACGCCGCGTGCTTGTATTATTTTTTGAAATACGTCGTATACGTCGACTTTTGTTTCTTAACTTTTTAACTATACAGTGGTCCGGTAATGTACTATTGCATACGTTTGACCATTGTATATGTTTATTTTATAGTAATTCTCAAGATAGAATTTTACACTAAGAATTTATTTTAAATTAAACTAACTCTTTGCATAATTATTGAAAAAGGGAAAATCGGGAAATGCAATTGCGGCGTCGAAGTGGTTTTTGCAACAAAAATTTATTTTATAAAATACATTTTTTAAGTAATTTCAAAATGTATTGAATTAATTAAGACACTTGACTTTATATGTATATGTGTACCTTTAAAAATTGTTGATTGGCGCTAAATGGTAAACTATTTTAGAGAAAACGTTAAAATGAACTAAACATTATTGGAAAATTTGAAAAACTTGCACTAAATAATGAATTGAAATTTGCTTTACATGCGTTATTTAATTTGGTGCATTTTATTCACTTTCATTATTTGTTGTTACGAGTATATTACTACAGAAAAACAAAATCGCAGAAAAACGAGTTATAGCAAAAGTAATAAATTAAAAACAAAAATATAAAATTGTAATCGAAATGAAAGATAGTAAAATCATAAACCAAAAATTATATATGTATATGTATAGATATATATATACACACATACACACAATATTGACGAACACATTGATCGTGTAATTGTTTAAAATGAAACAAGCAACTAGAAGCTGCGTGCTTTTACTTACTAATAAATGTGAAATTTACAATATTTGATTATTTCTAAGGGAATATTTAATGCAAAATGGTTATGTTTAAATTAACTTTTCCCCTCCCTCCCACTATATTGAACACAATTGAATGTATGTATGTATTAACTATTAGGAATTTTAAATATTAAAGAAATTTATCATTATTGCTTATAACAAAATAAAGCAGAAAGCAAATGAAATACGAAAAACAAACTTTTACAAATGTTATTTTACGCTAATGATATTAAAAAAAAAAAAATCTAAGTGGTAAGTGTTCGTAATAGACAAAAACTTAAATATTTATTAAAAAATTATCAAAATTTTTACAGGTTTATTCTACAAACAACACCTCTTCAACGCCTTTGTCTTCCTACAAATGGCGTAAATACAATCTATTTGCAGGCTTCTTCAAACGGCTTAACACTTTTATTGATGAAATTATTTCTCAAAACCTCTAAAAATTCAACACTTTATAAACGCCATAGGAGTAGGAAATCTTAACAAGTAAAGAAGAACATGTCATATTCTTGCAACTTGCAAAGATCACATCGGGGAAAATAGTTTCAGGGGTTTGGAAAGATTTATATTAAAAAATATTACGTAACAATTCTACATTATGCGACGGAATCCTAAATGCTCTAAATACGCTGTAGCAACATGTTGCAAGAGTATAAAAATTGTATAGGATACTCAAGTAACAGCAGTGCATGTCACCACAGTAGCTTTCTACCAGAAAGATATTAGGTAACACTAAATTACCAGCGAAAAATCTCTTTAAATGTTTACCTTGATTTCTTCAAACCGCCTGATCTTTAAGTCCGTTTTTTTACCCAGAAGAGGGTGCATTAAGTTTGCCACGATGTTTGACACCCAAGACGAAACGTCGGATACCCTATAGAGTATATAATATATACTTATAAATAATCAGGGTGAGAAACTCAAATTCTTGTATGGAAAAGTTTTTTATTTGACAAGACATCTTCACAAAATTTGGCAAGGCATCGCTAAAATCTCCAAAAATATTGTTCAGATCGGACCACTTTAACATATAGCTGCCATAAAAACTGACCGATTAAAATCGTGCATTAAAAAAGTCATATGTGAATGATTGGGGTGCAGCCGAAGTTCACGTTCCTTCTGGCTTTATGTTTGTTTTTAGTTTTTTTTTTTTGTTTGTTTTAGTTTTTTTTTTTACATTTCTAACATTTGCTAGTCTGTAGAAATATAAAATATTTTCTTATTAGTATAAATTATTCGTCTATCTCTGCGAAGTAAGCAGACACACTGATCAAACAAACATCAAAGTCGCGACAACAGATAACGGAATCTTAAACAACACTAAAATATTTACTCATGAAGACATATTTTACGTTCATAAATATGGTACATACATTCATATGTGATCGTGCACTTAGCTATATACTATACTTATACATTAGTACTCAAGAATGATTAAAATAGAGAAAATGACATTGTTCTTAAAAAATTGTTCCTTTTATTTATATTACTTTTATTTAAGTACCTCTGTAGGTTGTATAGCCAAAAGGATTCAGTAGTAATGGAATATGATAGTGCTGACCCTGTTCACATTGCACCACGATCTCAATAAAGGGATAAAAACTATTAACGCCACGTTCAGCATGATATGGTTTCACATCGAAGTGCAACTTATAGATGCCGGATTTGTAGTGCGATGCGGGCACTAATTGGTTCACACGACCATCTTTATTGGTAGTTGCCTCACTCAGTTTCTGCCAATTATTTTCGCCCTCTAGACGGTGAATGGTAATGTTGACATTTGCTACCGCCTGACCTACTGTTGTGTCCAATATATGCGCAGATATAGTGCGCACATCAGCGCTCACGCTATTATTGCTAACCGGCTCAAAACCCTAAAAAGCATACATAAGGGAATATTAAGTTAACGAATCAATAAAATGAATTTTCAATATGCACCTCTTTGGTCTCGACACGAAGACGAACGCGTTCCCAGCTACTGCTCATTGTATTATGATATTTTATAGAAAATATACTGAGTGACAGTATGAGCGCTGCGCTTATCTTCATTTTTAATTTATATTACTCTTATTGTTTATCTTCTGTATGATATTGTTTGCGTATGAGTTTTAATATTTTATCAGCAGAATCTGAAAAATTTTCATATTTATATCATATGTATATGGTAAATGCAGTATATGCCGTATATGACGTAAACTATTCATGTATTAATTAATTTTTAAAATACTTTGGAGTTTATAAAATTGGGTAGGAAATCACTATGACAGCTCAAAATCAAAAGGATCTAACTTTAAAAAAATAAAAAATAAAGTATTAAAAAAATGGGCCGAAATATAAAAAAATCCCTTCAGCTAAAAAATAAAAAAGTTGCTTAGTAACTGTTAGTAATTAATGGTACACGAAACTTCAAAAAAAAAAATTGTATCTGAAAGGAGACAATCACAAAATTGAAAGAACATCTTCAACTACCGTAAAATAGGAAACACCAAATTATTATTAGTAACGGACAAAAATCTTAGTAGACGTAGCTTAGGTACCTGATTAACTATACATTTATTTAACTCATAACTATAGCTTTATACCTTGAATCGGGTATAATTAGTTTGCCACAAAGTTTTTAATACCCATAAGGAAACGTCGGAGACCCCATTTAGTATATAAGTACATAGACTTGATCAGCGATATGGGCTAGTCGATTTAGTCATGTTCGTCAGTCAGTCTGTATATACGTGAACTAGTCCCTCAGTTTTTAAGATAACATAGTATTGTACATATGTACATAAACTTACATATATACCCTTTTACACGCCACTATTGCTTAAAATCCTTCTACCGACACCAATGTGTAGATTCCAATAGCTACTCAGTTATTGAAACATTTTGTTTGCAATTTTCAATGAAAAGCTCAAAGCGCAGTGAACGATTCACGCATTTTTCTAAACTTTTCCTAGAATTCATTATTTGACATGCCTGAAATATACCCGAAGGTTACAAGTTGAGCTTAATGCTAATAATACTAATACTAATTTACATATGTTTGTACCACCTATTAGGAAAATGAGACCAATTTTTGTTAAGCAGATATGGATTCAAATCAAAGATATATGTATATAAACTAAAATTTGATCGACGAACAAAATATAAGGTAATTGATTACCAAAAATGCTTAAATATTTAATTATTTTTTGATGTTGTTGTTGTTGTAAGTGTGTAGATAGAGTGGATAAAAGTTTTATTTATGCAACCTCCGAGACAATATCAAGAAACCTCGACTGATAGTTACGATTTTTTTCCTATACAAAGCCTTGCATTCACATAGAAGATGTTTTATAGTCTTTTCTTCTTCTACCTCTTGACAGCTTCCACAGCAGTCCTTAGACAGTGACGCATGTGCAGCCCATGTTTCAAACATGCCACGTTTGCCTGCTTGTTCAGCAAGTTGGGGATTGACTCCATAGAGACTCAGCTATATCTATAACAAGTTTATCGATTAAATATCTACAAGTAGCCAGAGGCATATAAATTCCCTCTTTTTCGGAGTCTAATATCTGCTCTGGCTAGTTCATCTGCATCACAGTTACCAGGAATACACCTAATGGGAAGCGCAGGAAACGTGCTGTTTCGATGGGGCCGGACCATAGGGGGAAGGGTGTTAATTGAGAGTTTTTGAAAGATCTGCAAAGCCAGTAGAAAAGGCTTTGCAGATCTTTCGAATTGAACTAATTTAAATTGATACCGATGAGAGAAAAATTTAGAAAAGTCTCCCCCGAATTCGGGATTAATGTGGGTATGGGCGGATAGAGCAGGTTCTCCAGATTATAAATATATATTTAAAATTATAGTTTTGAGATATTTGCATTAAGGTACAAAAATTCAACAATTTAAAGAATTTAATATCTTCTCATCTGCCCATAGCCAATTTAACACCGAATCCGGGGGCCGCTATTCGAAATCCCAGTTGAAATGAGTTTTACATCTATAAAGATCAATTAAGAATTTGTTTTAGTACAACTTAGTAAATATTTCATACAACTTAGTTAATATTTCGCACGCAATATTTGTATGTGCACACCACACGTTATATTTTTAGAACTAAACACTGTTCCGATTTCGTTCGTACAAAATGCAACTCTGCTATAAGGCGAATACAACCATGCATTGTGAACGCCATTTTCCTCAGCGCTTGTCTATAATTTTGCTCATTCTTTTTCCGGTGGTCGAGTCGTACGGATGTGCTTCTAATTTTATTAGTGGGAGAAAATCTATAGGATACATAACTGAGGAAATTGTGTGTTTGTGTGTAAGGTGAAAATATATAGTAGACAACATGGACGGTGGTATAAAAGTTGAAGGAGTCAATGGTGCTACTCCGTTGCCACAAAGAGCTCAGAAGAATATGCCACAAGGTAATAAAAAGCCCATTATGAATGCTCAGCAGCAAAAACAGAATGATGGTGCTGATGGCGCACCAGCAGAGAAAAAACCACGTTTTAACCAGAATGGTCCTAATCAAAACCAAGGTGGTAATCAAAATAAAAATTTCGGAAATCAGAACCGAGGTTTTGGTAATCGCAATAATAATCGTAACCAACAAAATCAGAATCGTGGTAACCAGAATCAGAACCAAGGAAACTCACAAAATCAGAATCAGGTATGTAACCATTATTATATTTGTTAAAATTTTATTCAATATCAATATCTTATATAAGTAAGAAAACCACTAAACATTCATGTATAAATGTCCTATAAAATTAAAAAATCGATATAAATTTTCTCAAAATGGCGAATGTAAAATGGCGGCTAACCATCGTTCGCTCTTCGTGAATCGAAGGCGTAGGTTGTTCGTTTTCAAGAAATCGAATTGCCAACGTATGAAAATATTGTTTGTCCAAATAGCCACACATCTTCAATTCTTTTAATTTAAGTGCATTTTAAAATTAACATAATACCGTTATATTGTGTTACCAACTTGTAATTTATTTGATTATTTCAAAAACTTGCCTTTCAAACTAATATACATTTGTCGGTGAAAACCTAACTATTATTATGTGTTAAACGAAGAGTTCAATGAACATTTGAACTCGATATTCCCAAAAAAAAATAGACTTAACTATTGTACTTCGAAAATAAAACATTAGTACAGTTGCGTCAATAGAAGAAATTGTGAACGTTCAACCCTACAGAAAAATAAATATTTATTCTTCTAAATATACAAGTTTAGTTTATAGTAAGTATTTCAACAATGAAAAATCTTGATAAAACTTTTTCAGCAGAATCAGAACAAACAAAATCAGCCAAATCAACAAAAACAACCAGATGTGAAGCCGGCAGGTGATGGCAACCAGGCAGCAATTAAAAAGGATGTTGGTCCAGGACCGCAACAACAACAACCCCAGCAGCAGCAACAACAGCAGTCCCAACAGCAACAGCCACAACAACAACAACCACAAAACCAACAAAGGAATCTGCAACAAAATCAGCAGAATCAAAATATGAATCTCAACCAGAATCGCAATCGTGGTGGAGGTGGCGGAAGTGGCCCTATGGGTAATCAAGGAGGCCCAGGTGGCAATCAAGGAGGTCAAAATAGAGATCGCAGCCGTGGTGGACGAGGGGGTCCAGGTGATGGTCGTGGTAATCAAGGTAATGGCCCTTATAATAGGAGTGATGAATTCTTCATTGGGCAACGTTTAAGGGCGATCGGAGGCCCAACACATGAACTGCCACCGGTTGAGGCTACCGAGGAACCCAAGTTCTCTGGCCGCAATCGTTTATATGTTGGAAATCTTACCAATGATATTTCCGAAAATGAATTGCGAGAAATGTTTAAACCATACGGTGAAATTGGTGAAATATTTTGTAATGCTGAGAAAAATTTCACTTTCCTTAAATTGGATTACCACGTAAATGCCCAGCGCGCCAAACGTGAATTGGATGGCACCATGCGGAAAGGACGTCAATTGCGTGTTCGTTTCGCTCCCAACGCTACCATACTTCGTGTAAAAAATTTGACTCCTTTCGTCTCCAATGAACTTCTTTATCGATCTTTTGAAATATTTGGACCTATTGAACGCGCTAATGTAGTTGTTGATGATCGCGGTAAATCCACTGGCGAAGGCATAGTAGAATTCGCTAAGAAATCGTCTGCAAATGTTTGCCTACGTTTTTGCAATGAAAAATGTTTCTTTCTTACTGCTTCATTGCGTCCGTGTGTTGTTGAACCATTTGAAATTAATGAAGATGATGATGGTCTGCCCGATAAGTCGCTAAATAAAAAATCACCAGAATTCCATCACGAACGTGGTGTAGGACCACGCTTCGCCGAGTTGGGCTCCTTTGAACATGAATATGGTACCAGGTGGAAGCAATTGCACGAATTGTTCAAAACTAAACAAGATGCGTTAAAACGTGAACTCAAAATGGAAGAAGAGAAACTTGAGGCCCAAATGGAATATGCACGATACGAACATGAAACTGAGCTGCTTAGGCAAGGTACGAACTATAAGAGTAAAAACATAAAATTCAGATATAATAATTTGTTTTTATTATATAGAATTGCGTAAACGCGAGTCTGATAATGAACGCAAGAAGATGGAATGGGAAATGCGCGAAAAGCAAGCCGAAGAAATGCGTAAACGGGATGAAGAAAGTATGCGTCGGCAGCAAAATGAAATGCAATCGCGTATGTTGCGTCAAGAAGAAGAAATGCGTCGCCGACAACAAGAAAACACATTGTTTATGCAAGCGCAACAGCTTAATTCATTGCTAGATCAGCAGGAAGGTTTCGGCGGCAATAATAATGGAGGTAATAATTTCGACAATTTTGGTCGAGCATCCAACAATTCACCATTTGAATTCAGAGGTAAATAATCTGATTTTAAATGGCAACAGTTATACTAATTTTTAATGGTAGATCCAATTTCGGCTCTTTTAGGCAACAGCGGTGGGGGTGGTAACGGTAACGGCAGTGGCAATGGGCCAAATAATCCACAGGTACGTTCATTTTTCGAACTCTTCATGCAATCAAGATTCTAAACATACAAGCTCAACAAACATATCAATAAATTCTTTAAGTTAAAGCTGCAAAGTGGGTCATAATTATGCATCTTAAATGCTTTGCAATGCTTAATACAAATGATCCTTAAATCGGTCATATTTTGAATTGTTTCATAACAAATTCAGCTCGCACCATTGCGGTGTTATTGTTTACTACAATGATACGCTCGTAATAACTTAACGGGTTATTTATATATACGCTGCTGCAATGGCAATAACTTGTATTATTTTTAATTTGTAAAGATATAAAATATAATTGTGTTCGTTAACTGAGGCTGTTTAGGTAATTAATAAAATATTGGTTTAAAATTTTCACTATACCCAATTTCTTATTGATGTGAAAAGGGCGTAGAGCAATAATTATTTATATCATAAACAATAGAACAATAGTGTAAGTAGCTACTCGTAATCAAAGCATTCGTGTCAGTTAAACATTTTCAAGGAATTTAATGATATTCGGCCAAATATTTTATATTCCAAAGGAACTGCATTGTAGAGTCTAATCTTAAGTATGACAATACATTGCAAACGCCTTGAATGTGCGCTTTGACGTAAGCTTGTTTAAGGGTATGCTACTGAATGATATTTGTTTCCTGATTAATAACTATAGACAACAATATGTGCACTCATTTTCAAAGATACATAGTTGATAACATTGGGTTAGGCAATTTGTTCTTTCGGCTAAAAGAAATTATGAAATGTTACAGTGTGTTTAGGAAATGTGTATTATTGCAATTATGACTTGAAAAATTGTAAGCACTCTTTGAAGAAACATATTTGTGTTTGAACTTTCGAAACTTATAATCTACGACAATCGATCGCTTAAGCGCTTAAACCTCTTAATTTAAATAACTTTTGTTTAAAAAAAAAAATATGTGGGATGTTTGGTGGTGGGGGAACACAACGGTGTGTTGTACAGCAACAAAGCTTTGATTTATGTGGAATTACAATTTTGGGATTTTGTGGGGTACTGGAGTTGAGTAAAGTGACTCATCTCGGCACAATTGAACAAGTCGAAAATTCTCTTATAATAACATATAACGCTATACTAAACAGTTTCAGATATCAAAAAAATTTCGATACAAATTTAAGTGAAATACATATACTACTAACACTTGATTTCGGCGAAATTATGCTTGTTTTTAGCTTTGGGTTGGGCTTATAATAAATGACAAACAAATTTATACACAATTCATTCCGCGGCATAGCAATGATGAACGATATTGTTCAAATTGTATGCTAAATGTAATCGTCTTAAAAACATTGGTGAAATTAATTTGCAAATAGGCTTTTGACGGTGGTTACCAAAAGTACCATCAAATTTGAAACTTGATAAGTGCCGTCGAAATTTTTTTTCTAAACAAGAAAAAAAAACATTAATCTAATAAATTATGTATACGACGACTGAACTGCTTCGACAGCATTTATTTTTGTTATAGTTTCCGAACTTAAATCTACGCAGTGTTCTATATATGAATATGTTTTGATAAGAGTTGATATTTTCGAGTTATTGCAATTTAAACACATTTCCCAACATTATACACGAGCAGATTATATAAGAAACAAGTGTAAAATAAACTCCACACTCTGTTGTTTTGGAGAATCTATGTGGTGTGCCATATCTATTTGTTTGCATACGTAGTAGAAATGTTGAGTAATGGGTGGTTTTCATTTTTTGCGTATCAAATTCTTAATTAACAAAAGAAAAAACACAACAGTCTAACTTATTACATTTGCATATGAAATTCTTTATTACCTTCACTTGCGAATAGGATACGTTTTCATTTGAATTTGGTGGTGGTAACCAAAACCAAGGTGGCAATCAACGCGGTGGTAATAACAACGGAAACAATAATCCATGGGAACGAAGAAGACGTTTCTGAGATTCAGTGTCACCTTAAATGAATGTGCGTGAGCGATTACGCTGTATTTTTAATGATCCAGAGTGAAAAATTATGAAAAATGATTGAACAATTAATACTACTGTACTACAACCAATTTCCACCCAACAATAACACACAATCAAGCAGTTCTATGGCTGTTGGAACATTTATAAAGAACATGCATATAAAGAACAAAAACTTTACTCAAAGGACCATTGATTGATCAACACACGATATTAAAAAAAAAAAAAAAAACTTGAAAATCAGCAAAGCGCGTACACCTGCGCAAGTTCTCATGTTTTAATTAATATAACTAATATATTTAAATGTACGCTTTTTTAAACGATTTAAATTCTAGTGAAAAAATGTATTCAAAACATACATTCTCTTTAGGCAGGATAAGTTATTTGGAAGCTATAAAACGTGTGTAATATTTGGTTTGAAACATTTTAAATTTGTATAACAATTGATCAAAGTTGAAAGCAAGAAAATTCAATTCTGATGACGCTAGAAAGTGTAAGATTTCACAACATACTAGTATTTATTGATAAGGCATCAAACGTAAAGCAGCTTGAGCTTTATTTGTGGTAATTGTCTCATTTTCACCGATTGCGATCTCTTGAGGCATATGCAACACGAACTTACTCGTCTTGACCGTATTGGAAATTAAAAAAAAAACAGTATACACAGTATAAATTTCACATAAAAAACATATTCAAACTGAATATTCAGTTTTACCGTTAGTTTTAAGAAGTATTAATCCAATATTAATTATTATGAAGCACATGCAAAATCTGAAAATGTATTAACATCGGATGCTGCATACCAACATATATATTATATGTTTATGTGTAAAGTATCTTGAGGCATGAAATTTTACTTCAATTGATTGCGTCTGCCTACAATTGCTTTCTCGTGCAATTTTTAAGCTTTTGTGCGATGGAGATTTTTAGCTGACGAATTTGTGAAATAAAATTTCGTTTGTCTCTTCTTGCTCTATATTATGCGTGTGTAATATTTTTTGTATTACATATTTAGAACAAAAATGGTAATTTACATTGATTTATGTAGACAAAACTACAACAATTCTTAGTCTAAAATATAATATAATACATGTTCAAATATGTGTAATTAAATGGAAAAACTCTTTTAATCTAAATATTTTGAAATTAAAATTTATCGCAGTGTTGATGATGGTTGGAGGGAGGGTGGCCGCGAAGTGATTTCACTTTGCTGCATTGTTTGTTTGTTCGTTCGTTCGTTCGTGGTGTTGGTTCTTGGTGCTGATGAGAAATGTGCGTGCCAAATGTAGGTGCTTTGGAGATTGTCAGAGTGTTTGTGTAATTTTTCGCAATAAATCATGTGTTCTATTATATATTGTACTTTTTATTTTGCCTTTTCAAGTAAGAAAAAAACTTAAGCTAATATATATAAAGATGTCCTTATGGTCTAAGAGACATTTGCAAAGCTTTTGTTCTTAGATTTGCACATTCCCAACTGGGATATGAAGTAGTTGCGCTATTTTTTTCTTCTTATGTTTTAAAATATTTTATATTATTAGGTACACAAATTTTTCATTTAATTCTTTGGCAAGAGCACAGAATTGCATGAAATACAATATATTTATTGTTGCCCACCTGAGTCACATTTATTTTAAGAGTAAAAAGAAAGTTTAAGAGATTTTCTTCAGTAAATAGTTTTAACTAAATGCCGCAATTGCAAGTTATTCGCGATTAATGGCACTTTTTGCGTTGTATGAACATATGATGTCTAGCAAAACGAAAATTGAGTGCTTAGTTGCAGTTAGAGTTTTAGAAACCATTTCACATGTCAGCGATTTGCTTAATCAATACTTCATGCTATTTCTCTAATAAACTTTTTGCGCAAATACTTTTCGATATTGTTGAACAATATTCATAGAACTTTTTTTTTCTTTTATAGTATCTATCACCATTGATATTAAACCATTGCTGATGAATTAGTATCTATATTTTGCTAGAACAAAGAAATTGCTCTTTTTTTATCACAAATACATCACTGTAAAAACAGATTTTCAGATTATTGCATTGGAGAGGAATGCACTCTGTAATATTTTTTCACTGGTTCTTGGATAAACCGACTAATTTTTTCCATTAATAGTGGCTGTCAGAAGTCTATGAAAAAGTTTTATATGTAAAAAAGTAAGAATAAGAACCGCAGTGATGTGGTTTGTGTTTAATTGGACTTCATGTGGTAATGGAGAGTAGAATTAAATTCTCTCAAATCCTGTAGTAGTTCGTGTAAAGTGTACTTTGCTGAGTTATTCAATATTTCATGTGAAATTTTTGAAAAAGTAGTTTTTTGGGGTGTTCATATAGATATGTGACACAATTGGCCGCACATTTCTTTCGATTTTTATCACTTTTTATTTTTATAATAGCTTTCTTGTACAAAAATGATTTTCAGCAATAATGGAACTGCAGAAATCCATCAAGTAAAGAACATTGAATTGAAAGGACTTATGACAGAAGAGTTCATCACATAAAAGTAAATTTGTAAATTTACGACTAATTTCGACTGAGTAAGATTAAATATCTGTTTTTAAAAACGTACGCGAGTAATATTCTCTTAAAAAATTAATCTATATTGACGTAAGAGACTAGCACGTACTTTTGTTAATTGTCATTTCCAGTAATATGTCCAATAGTGGTTATGTACCATACTTAATGACAGTAAAATCAAGAAAATGTTGAAAAATTTTAAATATCAACAAAATATTGGTTTTTACGACACGACGTTACTATGGCATTACTATGAAAACGTTATTTGTTAAGAAAACATATACTTTTTTATGGACGACTTTTGCTTTTAATACACTTACAACAATTTGCTATATGGTACGGCTCGTTTTTTGTGGAAGTGTGTTTACAACTAACTTGGAGGATGCAAAACCAATTTTGTTATATGCAGACCACACAACTGAGAAAAAACTTTTTATAATTCTTGCGGAGAAATTAAAGCTGCAATATTTCGTAAAACTATAATTTTTGAACAACAACAAGCAATATTGCTGCTTCTACAACATTTGCTATGAAATAAATTGATTGTGAAACAACTTTGTCTCGGAGAGGTAAGAAAATGCTGTCATTTTTAACATTAAATATTACAACAAAAAAAAGTTTAACAATTTAGATGCAACATTTATAGAAATGAATAGTTTTAATCTTGGTGCTTTATCCGGTGAAGTGCGCAAGTATAGGCTACAAAAATGTTGGAATTTGATTGCCTAATTGCATTAACTGAATAAAACAACACGTGAAGCTTATTCGAAAAATATATTGTTTATGGTACACTTTGCTGGAATATCAGATGAAAAACTTATTAAACAGTTATATATATATGTATATGTAATATTTTGGGGCTTTCTTCAAAAATTCTAAAAGCTAACCTCCTTATCTCAGATATGCCAATAGTTAGTGATATGAGGGAATGAAATCTGCATCATCATATGAACTGAATATGTAAAAATAATAAATATTTGAATTATTTTACAAATTTCTGCTATAAATAGAAAATTGCTTACAAACTAAACTCTGTGTGCTGCCGAGAGCGCACAAGTCTCGTAGCGAGACAAATGTGCACTTTAAGCCGGCGCGCGAATGTGCCGAACTCGATCAGGTATTTAGGAATATTGTATTAAAATACTATATTTGAAGTTATTGAAGTTGAGCGTCAATGAGCAAGTTTCAATTCATTGTGCTATTTTATTTGAATTCGCATAAACAACTTGAAATTGTTGAGATTGAGGAATGTTGTTTTCTGTACGAATATGCATTTACAAACAAAATGTTAATATCTACCATAAATGTTACGAATTATTTACTTCTGAACGACACATTTTGCAAAATACAACTGCAAAATGGTGTATACAACTCTCTTGTGGACACTACAAAAATCTTTCTGTGAAATGGCATATCTGAGGCTTCTGATTTTTCTGGTCATGAAATTCCACTTCAATAATAATGAAGAGTAAACAAATCTAAGATGTGATGTGCTTCGCACAAGAACAAAAATCAAAACTATCCATCACTTGCTCGCAAATCTACGAAATGTTTTTCAAACGTCTTTTTAATTTTATTTTTGTTATCGGCATGTTTTTTTTTTTTACGTATTTTTGATTTGTAGTTATAACCTCACAATTTAATTTCTATCATATAAAAAAGAGTGGAGTAATTACTCAAAAGAATTTTGGTTTGTTTTTGTTTAAAAGCAAAATTTATAAATATAGCGATTTAGTTTTTATGATTTTGTCCTGTAAAAATCGCAAAATATCGCTTTTCGATTGTTTGAAAAACATTTCCAACTGCCAAATTCAACTGGCAGTCAAAAGATATTCACCAACAAACTTTGTATTAAAACACACAGACTTAATTTAATCAATGTAAATATGTATTTTATAGAGCAAGCGACATAATTGGGTGCACAGTAGCAAAGGTAAAACTCCCAGTGGTACTGAATCATCAAAGTCAAATCCTTCGCTGCCATTCAATATAGAACAAATTGAAGGTTTAGCTGCCAATTTCGACTGGGATGCCGTCAAAGGGTAAGTGTGACATAAAAAGTTAATATTCTCAATGTTTTTCTTTAAAATTACATTTTGCAAGGTGTTGAGCGTTTTAAATGAATTATACAGCGATAAGCGTTAAAATTTACTTTAATGCATAACTTCCATAAATATGTTAAGCTTGTAAAATAAGTCTAAAACAAGAGAAAACGTTAACTTCGGTTGTACTAAAGCTATAATATTAGCTGACCATTCGTCCCGGCTCGACCTGGACAATCCGAATTCCGAGTTAAACGTCCCGACCGTCCCGGGCTTGGAAATTAAAAAAAAAAGAATGGATTGAATAAAATTATGTTGAGAAGCAACCTATTATAAGTCGCGATTTAACCGTTACAACAACAACAACAACAACAAATGTGAAGAGATATCTCTTCAAATGAAAAAATGTTCAATATAAATAAGTACTTGATTCAGTTGATTGTTCAGTTTGTATGGCTTATGCAATAGTGGTACGATTTTGGTGATTTCGAGAATAAGCAGATTCTTAGGCAGAATGTGATGTGCGCAAGATTCGTTCTGGATACTGTAGCAGGTTAAACTCCTACTTATCCAGAATAGACCCCGACATACCAAACACATGTCCTGCGTGCAATGAGTCTCCGCATGACACTAACCACCTCTTTGCATGCCCAACAAACCCCACTCATCTAACACCCTTCTCCCTATGGTCCGACCCCGTCGAAACAGCTCGTTTCCTGGGCCTCCCGTTAGATGATCTTGACAACAACGAATCTGGAATTTATCACCCAAACGGGGACTAGGTAACCGTTACAACAACAACAACTAAATCGATTCAGCTCCTTCCATTATACATATATAAAAAGAAAGTAGCTAACCTTAAAGTTTAATATCTGCATACTACTACTTTATATCTTAAATGTCTCTCAGTGTAAATATTTATTTGCTTGCTCAAGTTAAATTAAACAATAGTCGAAACTTCCGTTAGTATTTTCTTTATAGTTTTCCTACTTTGTATTGTAAATAATTCATGATTTCTTATTATTCTTTGCAGTTTTTTGTATAGTACTTTGCAAAGCTGATCGTTTGGGGAATCAATCACTGTTCCAAAGGTTAGTTACATACATATCTCATAGTTATAAATAATTTAGTATTAATTTTATGCACAACTTTTCAATGATTATACCAACGGATCTAATTTCTGAATACCTTACCTTACCTTACAATTATAGTGTTGATTTTTACGTAAATGAGATAAAAACAAAAATATTATTTTTATTATTCACAGTTTTAAATGCAAATCTAATGATATATTTTCTTTAATTTCTTGCAGACATAAAAATTGTGAGCTCCAAGTGATGCATTGAGGTAATTATGCACTTTTTTTCATATGTAATAAAAAATTGTTGATAGGCTTTTTTAAATCTGTGATAGTGTGGAATTACTGCTAATTATCAAAATCGCGTTATATGATTATTATTTCTGGTCGCAAATATTTCTTGCTTGAACTGTTCTTAAACTAGCATTTAAAGATATTAGCACTTGCTCTTTATAGACACTTATATTTTAAATTAAAAAAATTTTTTTTTAAACTTTATTATATTAAAAATATTTTTCAAATGATGATAGTAATTACCGTATGAGTATATTCAATGACTAAAACTCGACGGCTGCGCTCTTTGCGTACTGATTTAAACATTTAAATAATTATATATCTATTATTCTTTCATAAACATAAACCTAAACGAAATCATTTTCTATTACAGACATTCGATTCCACAGTCTGCTTTGGTAAAACCAAACTGTAAATATTATGTTAGCGTCCATTCCAATGAAATTATTTCATAATTACTTTATACGACTGGAAAAGCGATAAAAGTCAAACGTATATGTACAGACAACAAGTTCCATAGCGACATCATGGTAAGTGTTTTATCTTAGTCCCTTATTACAATTAATACAATTTACGGTTATAATGATGTTATTAATTACCGTATGAGTTAAAAAAGACTATGACTTAATCTTAACGGCTGCGCTTATGCGTTCTGAATTAAATTGCATTAAATTAAGCGAAAAGTATTAAGACACAAATTTATTAATATTGAAAAGTAATTCGATGCGAATCAGAAAAAAATTGTAACAACCTTAACTTTGATTCAGAGAAACTTCCTTTTGGAACACACAACTGTAGAATACTCGTAAAATTTTTTTTTTTCAGTTCATGTAAAATGAATTGTATCTCTTTAATAATTTTTTCGCTTGTTTTAATTTAAGCAATTAAAAATTATTGAAATTTTTATGTTAAAAAATTTGTAACACAGTGCTGTTTTTTGATTTCAGGGTCGTGCCTACCTACCAGTATGCAATGTATAATTTAATTAAATATGCAAAAGGTAAGTAATCGGATATATTTATTATTTATTTATTTACGACAACAATGTCTGAAAACAGTAAAATGTTTGTATGATGATATTAATTGGTCCGTGTTTATGAATTTATATTGATTTTCACTTTTCCAATTACTGATTCTAGTAAATAAAAGATAAATAAAAGCAATATGGCGATCACAATAACTGCGTATTTTATTTTGAAATAATTGAAAAGTTTATTCTGAGTTTTATTTTCTACTTTCCTATATTGCTTTGTATTTGTCTAATTACTACAGGCGTTATTTATATATTGTATGTAATATTGCATTTTATTTAATTCAATATTTTCTATTTTTAATTTTTTTTTAGTGTTAATCAACAAAAAGTGCACAGTAAAATATTGGCGGTGTTAAAATGGTGAGTTCAAATTTATTTTTTAAACCGTACAACAAATTTTTTAAGTGATGAAATTAATTGGTCCGTGTTTATGAATTTATATTGATTTCAACATTTCCAATTACTGATTGAGTTTTTTTATTTTGTATACAATTACTATCGTAATTATTATAAAAAAAAACATATATTCAACTTGTTTTTCTATTTGCAGATTACAACTTGATACTCTTGAAGCGAACAGCGAAGGAAACGACGTAACGTGTTTTGTATAGGATGTATGGAATGAATGTTGCAATTATATTTATTGCAAATGACAAATTAAGTTTACACAAATGCTGTAAAGAACTTCACTGCCTTAAAATCATTTTGTAAATAATAATGTAAATAAATCAATAATTAATAAAGTAGATATCAATAAAATAAATGCTGTATTATAGTAAAAACAACTTCGTAAAATGTAAATAATTTGTGAAATTTTTTTTGACTTTAATTACATAAATAATTAATTTTACAGTGTACATATTCGTATTACTTATTTTTGAATTTTGTTTGCAATATTTTAAAGAAATAATTGTAGAGTTCTATTCATTTTTGAATTAAGTGATAAATTAAAATGTAGAGAGCCGTATCGCTTGATGCTGTAACATTCATTCAACATCAATATTACATAACACTGATTGCTGATTGATTATTTGCAACAGGTAATAGAAAAAAACAACATATTTCATTTCATATTTCGTTCTATTAAATATTTAAAAATATCAAAATGTAGTTTTTTGTGTTACAAAAATATTAAATTGAACATTCAAACATTTGATTTTAGTTTATTATATTATTTATATTATTATAAGCATTATTCATCTTAAGTATCCAATTTTTAATTTAATATCTTACTTTTTCAGGTATGTCTAACCGAATATATTATTTATTTTATAGTTTCAATCGTGTAACAAAATGTTCGCCGCCATATTTATGGTTAGGAAATTAAACGTTTAGAAACCATTGTAACAGGTGAGAAAAACATACAAGTTATATCGAATCATAATTACTATTTGAAACATAACTGAGAAAGCTTACGGACGGACTATTCTAATAATTACAAAAGCATATAGTGTTAATTTTCGAACTTCACTTATTTCTGCTGTACGTCATTGTGTTAAAAAAAGTTATGTTTCGAATCGGTTATTGCTTATTAGGTATAAACACCAAATGATGATATTTTTTTACATATTGTCTTCTTTTCCCGACATAATTTCATGTTGATGATTTTAAAATTTGCTGATCAAAAAAAAAAAATTATTTTTTTAAACTCTACTTGATAACAAATACTAATGCTTTTCATATCTTTTTTTTTTACAGGTATGTCAATGCAGGCGTCAAAAACAGTGTTGCAAATGAAACATTTTTATTTTTTGTTATTTTTATATTTTTATTTTAGCTTTTATAATTGAAAGAAATAAATAAATAAAAATAAATGGATTGCAAAAAGTTAAAACTCGTATTTTATTTAATGTAAAAAAAAAAAACGAGTATAGACGAATAAAAAACATAAGGGTGGCGTTGTACACTATTTAGTAGCAGTTTGCATATTTTAATAAAATACAAAGTTATCTTAAAAATAGCTTTAGTTCAACAGCTTTAACCCCAATCATAACCTAACCGATCGGTACCTCTTAATATAGTTGCTAGTTTGAAGATGACCTCGCCGTAAGACTCCGCCGGAATGCCTGAAAGATTTCTTAATACGCTTTTAATTTCAATAGTTTAGAAAATGTGTCAGTTTACCTTTCAATTTGCCACTGCTCAATAAAGACTTTGGGTCTTTTAATTCTGGATTACGACCAGTTATCCAACTGGCAAGCTCCGACACCATATTGCTGTTTAGCGGACAAAGTATAGGGGCGACTATTGGGTTGTTGGCATCCGAACCAAATACCGGCAAATTTATACGACCATAACCCAATGATGTTTCCACACCCCAACGTGTTTTGCCATATATGCAAACGATCAATTGTGGCCCTGAAATTCGTTTAAATGCACACATTCTTGAATTAATTTTGTATGTGTGAGTATATCTACTTACAACCAAAAGGTGTTGTACTCTTAAACGTCCATTCTAATGGAAAGTTGAATATTATTTTATCTTTAAAGTAGCCACTCTTATTCGATGCCGTTTGTGAAATGCCACTTTGTACACCGGATACCAACTCCCAATCCGGGCCGTACACAATTTCATAGCGACAAAACACTTCTGCTGCATTTGGGCCTAGTGGAAATTCCATTGCTTCCAATTGTCCAGTAATGAAGATATTGAAATAACTGGCCGTAGTGGGTGAGTCAGGCATGGCAGAGAGTTATTTAAAGAATAAAATACTAGTTTTTACTTATTGATACCAACTTTTATTATACGGATCTGCTTCCTGAGCGTTACAAAAGTGCAATTCCGTTTGATTGTATACATTTTCGTAGTCATGGCAATACTGCAGGAGCTGTTGTTACACTAATTAATGCGATAGTGTTGCCATTTACACGAATATGTATAACAGTTATAGTTTTCTTATGATATTTGATTATAGCTGTTTATTTCCTATATAACAACGTTTGACCAGCACCGAGCGACAAGCGATTCCATGTAAAAGTTGGCTATTATAAAGTCAAATATTCAATATGACATATCCGGTAACATTTACGCATGGTTGTCTAAATTATGCTAAATAGAGATACCAGATTGTATTATATTTGTCACACCATATCAGCATATACCTAAAGGAATTTCTTAATGAGCATAGTTGGCAAGCTGGTTGGAGGTCTAACATAGAGCGCAACAGCGCTGTTAAGTAGCGTATAAAACAGTGGGTTCATGTAATAAAGTGAAGTTGTTTTTCTCATTGTCCGTTGGGGTAAAGTCACATCGTTCGTGCGCTGTAATTATAAATATACCATAGACAGGGAATGAACCTGTTGTGTGTTTCAAAGGCAAAGATTCGTGTTTAAATTAATTATAAGAAATTTGTTGGCAGAATTCATAGAGTGGTTGTTATTTTATTAACGCAAGTGCAAAGCAATTAGTGAATACTGAAGTTTTCCAGTATTGTGCAATGGAAATTATTGCTAAAAATTTGAGCAAAAACGAAATGTATGTAAGAGTAAAATTCGATTAAACGGGGAAAAAATGCAGCAGCATCTTAGCAACAATAACAAGTACAACGAAGAAAACAAATAACAACAATAACCACAATATATCATCAACTATCGTACGAAATAATTCGCAAACGTCAATAACAACAATAATAATAACAAAACCAACCACATAGAGTAACAGCCAACATGCGCATAGATGGCAATACATCAAAAACAACAAAAACAAGAGTAACAGTGACGACAACAGCAAGGTAGGCAACAAAACAACAACAAATATTTACCAATCGACGACGGTGTTATGATAGAAACTTGGCAAACGGCTTTGCTAGAAACAGTCATTATATGTAAGTGATTTCACCTAAATACTTAGAAGAAAATTCAATGAAAATAACAAAAAGACTGAAATAAGCGTCAAATTCGGTTTACTTATGAGCAGTTTAACGGTGAAATTGATCACTTAAACCATACGAATATATAATTAGCAGATTCATATGTCTTAGCTAAAGTGGCAAAATTTTTAGACAAATTTATGCACACACACACACATTGTATGTGCATACGTAATGATTGGTGTAAGTTGGTAAATATATTGTAGGTATATGCATGTATATATACATATATGTATGTACATACATGTGCACGTTTGTGTAGCAAGCACTGACAGCAACGGACACTTGTTAACAACAATGTTGAAGCCAATTACTAGACAAATAAGCAGCAGCAGCAGCAACATCTCCAACGCCTCCGGTATATCTAGCGCATAGATACATATGGATATAGGAAATCGTATGTTTGTAGATAAGGGAAAAACATTTTAAAATCTTGTACCTCAGCAGTGAAAAATTCGGCAAATTTTACATAGAGGTGCTCTGCTAAGTGTTTATTTCATTAACAGGCTCTAAAAATCTGGAGGGTAGTTAAAAAGAATGTTGCTGCGCAGCCGTCGAAATTAATATAAAGCTTATTATGTGGTGTTTTTGCATTAATTAAAGATTTATGTAGAAATGTAAACAAGTCAAAATTCAGTGTAAATAAGAATTAGTATTTAAAAACGTTTAACTTCATCAAAATATAAATATTATATATGTACATACATACATACAAACTTGTATACGAAACCGATTATCAGGCAATGTAGGCTCCAATTAAGAAATCTGCAGACATACATATTGTACATACATATGTATATGTGTTGGATTTGCGGTTTCGTTCACATTATTTATACGTAAACATGCTGGTACAGTAAATAAAATGTTTTCGATCTTCGCAAGTGAATTACCATATTTAAATCAAATGAGTGCCGGGATATGGTTGGCATGCGTGTAGTGACGTTTCGCCGGCGACTGTCTCTACCATGGATAAATCTTTTATCTATGTTTTTTATCTATGGTCTCTACAGAATTATTGAAGATCTATGATAACAGAAAATTATGAATACATTGCAATAGTGCAAAAAAAGGCAATTGACAAAATATTACTATACTCTCACGACAGTCGGAGAAGAAGCTATATAATAGACAGTACAAGCAAAACAAAAAAAAAAAACACAATTGTGTAACAGACAGTACAAAACAAAAAAAACCATTGGGGTTTTCAGAGCGATCCTCGATACAATTTATATCAGAGATAAATAGATGCCCAACTGGAAATGAAGAGCTCAATTGCTAAACGTCAAAACCTCCTGAACTCAAGCAACTGTCAAAGTTCAGGAGGTCTGACGTTTAGCAATTGGAAAAAGAGGGACGGCCAGACTGAAATCCTACAGAAAAATATGTCCACAGAGAGATTTCTTGCCGCTGTTAAAGATCACTAACAAAAATTTGAAAACAATGAAAATGAAAGAAAACGCGAAATTAAAATGTATGTGATGAAATCTTTTGTTATACCATGCTTAGTAGTATTGATTTTCAATTAAAAATTATAAAAAACATTTATTCATTGAGAACTAATACATTTATTCTTTTGATTAAATATTGAAAGTTTAAAAATCAAAAGATTTAATATATGACAAAATCACAAAAAAGGGTTTAAATAGTTTCTGCATATGTTTAACGGATACATGTATATTAATATTTAATCTAAATAAATGTTAGGTATTTTAATTTAAATGCCCTAAAGTTATTATTTTGACTGATGACTGAAAATGTTATAAAAATTTTGAGGCACTCTCACACTGGAAAGAGTTGGGCATCCCATTATCCCTGATTTATATAGTACAGATTATTGCTCGTACATATATTTGAAAATTTCCTGCGAAAATTTGAAGTTGCTCCGGCAAATAATTTTTTAACTTAGTGTAATCAGCTCTCAAAACTTTAAACGCCTTTTTATCGAGGTGCTGTTTTCAGAGACAGTGAGGAAAATGTCTATGAAACGGATGGACCTATTGTCTTGAAATTTTCCCACGACTTTCGAGAGTATGTACATTTATTTGTCAGCTAATGATCGAAGTAAAAAATTTTTTTTTAACAATTTAGATTTTCAAGCCACTCTGAAAAGTCAGTCTTTTCTTTTTTTACAAAAAAACTACTTGTTTTTGGAACCCGTTATTTAGCCAAAAATAAAAATTTTGATTAGTCCTTCGACCATTACTTGTATTCATCTAATTGGATAATAATTGTTTTGTTTTTGGATTTGTGATAATTTTAAGTGGAAAAAGCTAGGTATGACTGATTGCCAGGGTTGCAAATAAGGCATTAAAAAAATAATTGTATTAATATAGATTATTGCAAGAATGAATGAATATAAAAATCTGGTACTTTTTATAATACCCAGAATAAATTAGTTATCAATTCTGTAGAATTTAAATTTATTGACAATTTTATTCTGGAAAATGTGTTTTCGCTGAATGTCTCTACATGTTGCCCATATTCAACAGTGGCGATAAATTAAGGCGTTTGTTTGAATTTGGCGTCAAATAGCATCGGATGGTTGAATTGCTTGCACAAATAATGATATAGACGATTCCTAACGATATTGTTAAATTGAGAAATTAAGGATAATAAAAGTGTATCCTTTAAAAAAAAAATCCTCATTCGCACGCAAGCGCTTCAATCTTCAATTTTAGTAATGTGCCAGTGAAATAGTGAATTTAAGCCACAAGAAATATATAAAATTTAGTGTAAGATTTTTTAAATATACATATGTATATTCAAAATCAAATGTGAATAAAAATAAATAAACGAACGGATTGTCAATTAAATAAATCTTAAAAATATTAACAAAAACTAATTACATAATAAGATTCCATAATATCGTATAAATGAGTTCGTAAATCAATTATGAAACTACGATTTACTGTTGAATGTAACAAAATGCCACAAAAACCAGAGCAATGTACGAGAGCAAGGTGAGTAGAAATATATATTTTACTTTATTTTTAATTTTTTTATGGGCATTTACGAATAGGGCATTTTATTTATAAAATATTAATACTTAGTGGGACTTGGTGGTACGCACATGCGCAAACAACTTTTATTTCTACACACTGAAATTAATTAATTTAACCTTCCGCTGACATTGTAGAATCTGAATAAAAATATTTTTATATAAATGTAATAAAATCAAAAATTTGATTTCATGCCAAAAAGTTCTAGTGGATCCAAGTTGTAGTTGTAGCGGCAGAAAACAACTCTCAAATAATTTGTATTACATTTTGAGAATGCTCGTGAGTAATTTTTTTTTTTAACTTTTTCGTCTTCGTATTAAATATAATATTATAATACGGTGTCAGCTGTTATGCTTCAAAAGCACTTACACCTTTACATACTTTTTTCGATCCTTTTTACTGACATTTCTTTAAATTTCATTATATATTTTGTGCTTTCTGCGGTGGATCTAAGGCTTAAACCCCTGCAGCAGCAAAATTTAAACATAACTGCTTTTGTTAAAATTGTCATCATGTCTACTTGCGCTCTTTTATAGGAAGCTCGCATCTAAGATGAGATATAATACTCTCGTTAACGTTTGCATATTTAATTGCTGTCACCTCCCATCGAAACGCTTACAGTATTCTATGCAAATCTCTTGAAACTACACATTAGTACCGTTATATCAAGCACATGTTTAAATCATAAGATTGCAGAAATATCGTAGCTGAAGCTTCATATATGGGGCGTATGGCAGACAAACGATACACACACACAACCTAACCTACATATGTACATACATACATACTACATACTCATGCAATTTGAGAAAATTGTGCGAAGTTTTAGACTTTGCTGCAATAAATTAGCAATTTACTCCGATTAAGTGAAAATTACACAAATATTTTAAGAATATCCGGCATTCTTATCTATAAAAGTAAACCACTAGAATTGAATTCATATGTTTTTAGTTAGGCCTAACCTCAAAAAGGTACGCGCGTTCGCAGCTAGTAAGAAATTTATCTTATTTTTGATTAGTAAGCTTGTATGACAGCTATATGCTTTAGTGGTCCGATCTGAACAATTTGTTTGGAAATCATAACGTCGTCTTACAAAAATTTGTTTCAAATTTTGTGAATATATCTTTTTAAATAAGAAAGTTTTCCATACAAGGACTGGATTTTGATAGACAACTTTGTATGGGAGCAATATGCTATAGTAGTCCGATCTGAACAATATATTCGGGAATTGTAGCGTTGCCTTGGACAATACCGCATGAAAAATTTCGTGAATATAATTTCTCAGAGAAAAGAGTTTTCCATACAAGGACTTAAGTTTGAACGATCAGTTTGTATCACAGAGATTTTAAGGCTGTTTTGAGTATTAATCCATTTCAAGTTTCGTGAAGATATCTTATCAAATCAAAAAGTTTTTCATACAAGGGCATCATTTTGATCGTTCAGTTTATTCGATTGGGGGAGAAAAGGACGTGTGCAATCGATACATCAAAAACTGAAGGACTAAATCGACTTAGCCCGTCACGCTGACCAATTATATTGCGGTAAACTTAATAATACCCTATTCAGGATATACAAAAAATGTCGTTATTATCAAAAAATGTCAACTAAGGTGAAAAATGTCGAAAGCTCTGTGAAAAGTGGACGCCAAACGGACTCCCATGCGATAAATTTCTGACTTTACAAATTAATGAAAAAAATGTCAAATTAAAAACTTGTATATTGAGTTTGAAATCGCCAACCCATCCAGTATATTTTTCGGGTCTGGAAGATCTCTGTAATCGATGTGTCGCCTTCGGTGGCAACTCTATTGAATAATAATAATAGTGTTAGCGTTAGTGTTAATACCCTACCACGATACCAGAAGGGGTTTTAGAGAGGTTGATTCCATCTCGTGCGTGTTTATCAATATAATGCTGGAAAAAGTGTTACGTGCCGCTAATCTTAACCATAGTGGCACTGTCTACTCTCGCAGCCTTTTCCAGCCACATACAAAGATTTCTCCCGTCTTGAGAACTAACGCCCCAAGATGAGAAAGCACTTGGAGCACTCGAGAGAACTGTACGCGTGAGGGACGAATATCCAAGAAGAGGAAACCACGAACTGTATGAGCTCTAGGGCGACATGCATGGATGGGTAGTTAGGCGCATAAAAATCCAACGAATACGCTGGACAGGCCATGTCATTCACATGGAAGATGATGATACAGCGAAATGCTCCTTCTTCATGGGTGGACAACGGAAGCAAGGCTGCCCACGTATCGCATCCAATGCAAGGACCAAGTGCATAGCGACCTGTCTGCACTTGAGATGTACAACGGGCGTGACCTTGCAAAGGATAGAGGCAAATGCCGAAGCTTTATGTTCTCGGCCCAGATCGACGGCAGTAGTGCCAAAGAAGAAGAAGAAGAATAAGTAAGGGCACATATGTACCTACCACTGAAAATGAGTCCAAAAAAATTTAAAAATAGTTTGACTTTGTCTTTTTTTTTTTGCAAAAAAATAAAAACTTTCAATACTATTTTCTATTAATAATTTAATATAACCAATTGTTTCTCAGAATTTATCAGATAATATCTATACACATACATATGTAGATGTATGTATGTAGATGGTATTGCATGCAGCTATGCATTTCGTTTAAGCCCAACTTGCTTGCTAATGGCCTGTCCAAAACAAAAATGAACGGCATTGCCGACTGACGTCTCAAATGGGATTCCATTCAAAGTGGTACCATACCATAGGGTCAAATTATACAAATAGCGGTGTACAATATGATAATATACATATGTATGTTTGTATGTGTGCATAAATAATTATCTTTATTTTACATACATATATATTATATTTGTTGTGCAGGTGCTAAACATTTAAAGCATTGAAGCGATTAACTAGTTCTACCGCGAAATGTCAATTCGAGGCATTCATCCTTGACTTACTAAGAATTTTTATTAAAAACAAACACTAACCACATACATACATACATACACACGCGTAATTTCTGATAAAACTCGTTTTGACATAAATAAATACAACTAAAATAAAAATACACATTTTTGGAACACATTTATATTTCTTAGAATAATCTAACAAAAATAACAATATGCGTATTTTGCAATTTTACATGTAAAGACAGGTATGCGTACGAAACTAAATTTTGAACCTTGCATTTTTGCATAAATTTCAATTTCGCGCGGCTCAGTTAGAGTATAGGAGAAGGGCATGAAATCAAAATACAGTATACTCCATATAGAAAATCGGTCGGTTCGAAAAATTAAGCAAATGTACCAGCTGATCAAATTTCAAGTATTTGAGTAGCACAAAGCATTCAGTGAAGGTCGTAAAGTCATCGAAAACTTGCCTCATAGAAGTCGTACATCCACCTCTATTGGGTATGAAACATATCAATGATAGACCCATACCAAAAAGCCTGAATCTTGAGAACGTAGCTGACCAGTAATGATACGTTTGATAAATGTAAGGTGTAGCGAATGACGCGTTGAAGGTCATCCCAGCTGAGGCTTATAGCAATTTTATGGAAAATCGGATTAAGCGTTGTCTTGGCTCAGGAGCCTATTTCGAAGGCGATAATAAAGATTTGGATTAAAATCCGTGAAAACGTATGTAGTTTTTTTTTTTATCAGCCCGGGTCAAATTTTATCGATAGTATTTAGAAAACCGGTCAGTTTGAAAACTAAACAAGCAGACAACAGCTTTTGCTCGCAAGAAGGAAATCGCGAATCGAGAAACGTATTTCCGACAGCAGCAAAACCTCTCATAAATATCCATAAGCTATAAGTACGTAGGTGGTCCGGCATAAGTTGAAAGAAGAAACTGTGTAAAACATCTGTAAAATTAACCGATAACAGCTACTAATAAACTTTTTCGATAGTATCTGAAAATGAGAGTGTTTCAAGTCTATGTTGGCATGTTGACAAAACCGATAAGATCTACCATATGGCCATATTGGGCATCACCAACTCATTAAAGGCGCATTTGTAATTTGTACCGCTTACACATACAAATGCGCAAATTAACACAACCCAAAACAGAGCGAACTATTTATTAATTCCGTGAAACAAGTTTATAAATATACACAATGTGTGTATGTACATATTTAAATGTGCACTAACAAAGAGAAGGTGTGTAGCGAAATGAAGAGAATACAGCAGTCATAAAACAAACAACAATAAAATATTAGGGAACAAAGTAGATAAATTCCAAGCTATAGAGTTACACACAAACCCACAGAGCAAGTGTGTTGAACGGCCGATGTGACGTTCGAATGATGGATACAAATGTAAGCCAAATACGTTTGGAACAATAAACTGACAGCTAAATAAATAAGAAAACGATTATACGCACATCAGCTCCTATCACATCGGCAACGAATGACAACAATTAAAGGCATGAAAACGCCACTTGATAGTTTGTTTTTGTTGTTGCCTACAAATTTCAGTCAATATTTAGCATGTGCTTATGTATTTATGTATTCTGAATGAATTTCTGGAATTTGGAAAAAAGCTGGCATTCAAGGCAGCAATAAATTGGAAAAAAAAAGTATAAATGCGCCTAAAAAGTATTATGTTTGTACGATTACCGATTATATGCTGTATGAATTAAGAATATATGAAGTTAGTGACATATGTAGTTTGTTCGAAAATATTGTGCTTCCACCTTAAGTGGATCTACATTGTGCGAAATTGTGCAAAGACATACATTTTTTGTCGTTGTTGTAGGAAGAGGTAGCGGAAGAAACCATTTTTCCTGTAGATTAGGTTAGGCACGATCAAGAAGGAAGTATTGTGTTGTCTCCACCACGTGTTCGTCAACAATTTTCAACAACCACTTCCTGTAAGATGTTATGAAAAATGGTTGATGAATTATACAACGTATTAAGTATTTTTCTATCTTTGCACCTTTACTAAATACTTTCTACAGCGTCTTATAGGTTATGCCACAAAT